AGTGTGTTCTAGAGTTTCGTGAAATACAGACATCCCTATATATATTATATAATACATACCTGCGTACCTTGGCATCCAAGGGAAGTTGATATTGTATATAGGTGGAATTCGGCCAATGCCACGCTCACAAAACGTCATTAATCGAAAACCTATAAATTGCCATGACTAAGCTCCAAATTTAAACACAAACAATTTGGTTCAGGAGATCGCACTGGCACCTGCTAGCTGAAAATTTTTTAAAGGCGGGCATAGACAACAATTTTTGGCACCCTCTGCGACATACAGTAGACGAATTTTTTATTACTCGATGCACAATACATCACTGTTAACAATTTGTGTTTTATTTTTCTCTTTATATTTGCACAGTTGTAGGCTTTCAAAGTTCACATTTAGCGCGACATTTCCCACCTTTTTCCCGTAACAAGTGTATATATGAAAAATATATAATTTTGTTAAATTTTTGGTGATATTAGCGTTTTAGTAAAAAGAAGCAGGTATATATTTGCTTAATAAATTGTTTCTGTGAGTTTAGAGTCTTTTTGTTCATGTTGATTCGTCCTTGAAGTCACTTCCAGATAATGTGCAATTTTTTGTGTTCGCCGATCTTCCATGGCGTAAATCTTAAGTTGTTTAATAAATCGACCAAATCCGGTACACGACACCATCCTGATATTCCTATATTATAGTGTGAAAATGGTTGCAATAGGCCCACAACCACGCCTACTTCTCATATAACAAAATTTCATATTCCATCTGATTCTTTCACTTTTCAAACAAATCAAGCAAAAATGAATATATCGGGATAAAACTTTGCACAAATAATGCCTTTCATATATATCATCTCGAGTCTAGAAATTGCCAAAACCGAACCAAAACTGTTCAAGCCCACAGATAGCGAATATGGGGCCCCAGTGCTTATTGCTGACTTTTTACCGAACATATCGGTCAATCTGTGATATCTGCTTTTGAAATTTGGAGAATCCCCCTTCAGCGCCAAGGAACATGTGTACCAAGTTTTATCAAGACATCTCAATCTGTAATCAAGTTGTCCGCTTGCACGGACGGACGGACAGACAGTCAACTAATAAAGTATAATAAATGAATGGATTATACAATATATTATATATAAAAACCTTCGGTCTCCAAAATAATATAATATATTTTAGTACTACGTGATGGCGTAATTCGTATTAACAATAACGCTTGGACTTAAAATCTAGTAACAACAAGAAAAAACGTTAACTTTGGTTGCACCGAAGCTATAATACCCTTCACAAATACAAAAGCCCCTTACATGAACTTGATTCCGAACGTTCAATTTGTATGGCAGCTATATGATATAGTGATCTGATCTGACAAATTTCTGCGGAGAATAATTTGTTGCCCTAAGCATAATTTCGTAAAGATACCTCGTTAAATAAAAAAATTTTCCATGCAAGCACTTTACTCCGATCGTTCAGTTAATAAGGTAGCTACATGTCATAGTCATCCGATCTATACAATTTCTTCGGCGATTAGATTATTGCCTTAAATAATAATCCATGCCAAATTTCGTGAAGATTCCTCGTCAAATGAAAGAGTTTTCCATGCAAGCACTTGATTCCGATTGTTCAGTTTGTATGGCAGCTATATGCTATAGTCAGCCGATCTGAATAATTTCTTCGGAGATTAAATTGTTGCCTTAAATAATAATCCGTGCCAAATTTTGTGAAGATACCTCGTCAAATGAAAGAGTTTCCCATACAAGCACTAGATTCCAATTGTTCAGTTTGTATGGCAGCTATATGCTATAGTCATCCGATCTTTACAATTTCTTCGGAGATTGCATTAATGCCTTAAATAATGATACGTGCCAAATTTCGTGAAGATTTCTCGTCAAATGAAATAGTTTTCCATACAAGCACTTCATTCCGATTGTTCAGTTTGTATGGCAGCTATATGCTATAGTCACCCGATCTGAATAATTTCTTCGGAGATTAAATTGTTGCCTTAAATAATAATCCTTTCCAAATTTTGTGAGGATACCAAGACAAATGAAAGAGTTTCCCATACAAACACTTGATTCCGATTGTTCAGTTTGTATGGCAGCTATATGCCATAGTGGTCCGATATCGGCCGTTCCGACAAATGAGCAGCTTCTTTGTGAGAAAAGGACAGGTGCAAAATTTCAGATCGATAGCTTAAAAACTGAGGGACTAGTTTGTATATATACAGACAGACGAACTCAACTCATCATACTGATCATTTATATATATATTTTATAGGGTCTCCGACGTTTCCTTCTTGGTGTTAAAAACTTCGTGGCAAACTTAATATACTCTGTTCAGGGTATAACAAAGCTTTAACATTCGGTTGCACCAAAGCTTATTAAGAAGGTTTTCATTCAAGTACTTGATTTATACCGGTCAGTTTGTATTATTGAAATAAAAAAAATTTCCATACAATTACTTGGTTATGATCGTTCAGTTCGTATGGCAACTAAAATTGAGTAGTTTATTGGAGAGAAGTGTGCAAAATTTCAGATCGATATCTCAAAAAGCGAGGGACTAGGTTGCATATATACAAATAGAGGGAGAGAGAGAACAGACCGACATGGCTAAATCTACTCAGCTCGTCACTCATATATAAAATTTATATATAATATATATTTTATAGAGTTCAAGACGCTTCCTTCAAGATGTTACAAACTTCGTGCAAACTTAATATACCCCGCTCAGAGTATAAAAAGGTCAAAAAAAAACAAATGAGAGCAAAACCTCTTGAACTAACTTAAGATTAATCAGCAAAGGGAAATTTGAGACAATTTTGCAAGACCACCTTCTCAACACCAGAGAAATCGTCTCTGACTAGAGAAACATCGCAAAACAGGATAGAATGAAGCCTATATAATTAACACAGAAGTCAGGGTAAGACCCTTCTTGCCGCACTTCTAGGAATGCCCCTGGAGTCGTTGGCCACACAAAGCTCAGTAACGGAACGAACAAAGTCCGGTTCTTTCTGGAGGCAAATTTATTTTTTTAAATTTCATTTAAATTTGTACTAATTTAATTATTTTTTAATTTAAGTTAATTTATACTTAAATTTCCAAACAAACGAGTAACAAATTCATTTGTACAAAGAATTTAAAATTTATATACGTATGTACATTCCTTAGATTATTCATTTCAATTTACTTTTGGACAACTAAATAACATTTAGTACAAAAAAATACAAAAACGTTTCAATTCATAACGTAAGCACATCGCTAATTCACAGATGGGCGGATATACCGGTTTAAAAGTTTCTGCGCACGAAATGAAAAAATACTGGTTTTGGTACGAAATATATTTTTTTATTCAATATAATTTCCCTTAACTTCAATACACTTAATCCAATGATTCTCCAATAATTTTATGGCATCCCTATAATGGCTTTCCGGAAGCCCTGCAAAATACCAGTCAACGGCTGTAAAAGAATCTTCATTCGACGAAAAACTTTCCACGAAGGAATTGTTTCAAGTTTCTGAAGAGGTAGTCGCTGAAAGCCAAATCTGATGACGGTGGATGATCAAGCAATTCGTACTTTAATTCGTTGAATTGTTAAAATACTTTTCTTTGTATTGATGAAAAATTATTTTTTTGTACTGCAAACCAGATATTTTCTCACGAATTTTTTCATCCAGCTGATCTTGAAGGCTGCAATAATATTCAGAGATGATTGTTTTACCATTCTGCAATTAATCAATTAATAAACAGCTTCAGTACACTGTAAACGGTCTTGTTTCAATTTAGGATCATGGTGGTAGATCCAAGTCTCATCCATAGTTATAAAACGACGCATGAAATCGATTTTGTTCTGCTTAAAACACTCTAAATTATTGTGACAAATTTTTTTTCGATCCAGTTTTTGTTGAATTGTTAACGTGTGCGGCACTAACTTTCTAAACAGCTTTTTTATATGTAATTCTCCATGTAAAATATGAAGTACTCGTTCGTATGAGATGCCAATGGCATTAGTAATTTCCCACTTAGTCTTACTAACAATATTATGAACTTGCTCAATGATTTCTGGGGTGGTTGCTGTTTTTGGTCGTCCTTGGCGTGGATCATCTTCAAGCCTAGTACGACCCCATTTAAATTAACCAGCCCAAAATTCAACGGTGCTTCCTTTGCTTTTAACCTTTCAAAACAAAGAGTCTAATCACTGCGCGATATTAAATTTTTCTGTAAAAAAAATACTCTGACACGTCAACTTCAAATGGCTTGTAAAAAAAGAATTCATTGACATAGTGACTGGTTACTTTGTGTACTCACGACAGATGTACCAACTTTAGAAAAACTAATTTTGGAGCTAATAGTGCTATTTCGTTGTGAAAATAGAAACTTCTCAACCAACCTGTATATGTACATACGTTATGTAGGCAACGAAAACTTGTTTGAATAATCTAATGTTAAGGATAAGAGGGTAATTCGATTTTATCTATTTTTGGACCCAGGTCACCAGGGCACATTATTGCCAGGAAAAGATACCTTCGGAATTCCATTTAAATATCTCATTAGTTCATCGATATTTTCAGTGAAAAGTTGGCCATAAGCACTATAGTCCACATATAATATTTGGCATCTGAGGGCGTCAAAAGTGATATTTCGTTATCGACCGTTTTCAAGCAAGAGGCGGCATATTTTTTTATTTTAAATTACATTTCTACCAGAGAAGGGTGGATGCAAGTGTTGAATTCTTGTATTTGCAGAAAGGATAACATCATAGTGTTTCCATGGCATCAGTCTATCTATGATCGAGACCTGGGCGTGTATAATCCCGGAATAAAGTTCAACTTCCATCCTTAAATTTTATCACTAGAACTGTATTGTAGAAATATTTTGTCTACTCAGTTTTTTTTACTTTACCAAGTATTTAAAAATTAATTTACAAAAGTAAAGAAACATATATTATATAATACAGTGCCATAGAGATAAAAATCGGGTCACGGTCACGTTTTTTGTTTTAATTTATTAACTTACCTGCAATATCCTGAACTCCATGACATCAAACTAGCAATAAACCAGTATACCCATTCATTTTTTATGAAGACCGGTAGTGTTCTAGTTACATTAAGAGGATGGTAGTTGCAATATAGAAATATCGGTATGAAAACAAGTCGTAATGTAACAGGTATTGCCAAATATTTAGGACCGGGCTAAAAAAGAAATACTAAATTATTAGTGATTTGTAGACTATTTAATTTAATTTCTTAATTTAAAATGGTTTATAAGATCATAAACCCAGTTTAAGATATATGTATTTAAGATGAAAATCCAAATCAAAGAATCAAGAGAATTTTATTGTGATGTCGATATGAACAAGAGAACTGCAAAGAGTATGATTGAGTCAGATCAAACACTCACACTCATGCCAAAAACAGAATTAATTAACTAACTAACACATTTCGCAACAATAAATTTGATTTCCTCAAGGCTTAATTTTTTTGTAATACCATACAATAAAGTAAAAAAAAAAAAAAAATTATATGCAAATTTTTTCTTTCAATACATAGACATGTGCTTTTATAAACAAGTGCGTTCCAAAGTAAACAGTAAAAAAGTAACAAAGTAAACTCTAGTGACGCCATCTATATGTCGACTAGTGCGTTATAATCTGCTATCCTTTATCGACTTCCAGTAAAAATATCATGACATATCATCTATTGGAAGTGAAGTTATTGCGTTTTAAGTGTCAGTATGTTTTTGTCATCGGTGCGAAAATGAGCTTCGATCAAAGAGCCAACATTAAATTTTGTTTTAAAATTGGTAGAACTTTTACCGAAACGTTTCAATTGATGAAACAAGATTATGGCGATGATTGCCTATCCCGTAGCAGAGTGGACGAGTGGTTTCAACGTTTTCAAAGTGGTCGTGAGGACATAAATGACGATAAACATGTGGGCCAACCAAAATCTGTGATTACCGAAAATTCCATCGAAACTGTGCGTGAATTCATAAAAAATCAGCCGAAATCATCACTGAAATTCATGGAAATAGAATTGAACATCTCCAAAAAATCGATTTATCGCATTTTTACCGAACATTTTTTGCTTACAAAAGGTGTGTGCACGGTTTGTTCCGCACAAATTGACTGACGACCAAAAATTGCTCAGAATTCAACATTCGAAGGACATCATTAAAGAGGCAAAAAAAAAAAAAGACCCGAACTTCCTTTACAAGATTATGACTGGTGACGAAACGTGGTGTTTTCAATATGATCCCGAAACGAAACGCCAGAGTGCTGAATGGACGGCACGGGAAGAGCCGAAACCTAAAAAATCGCGCCTGGAGAAGTCAAAATTGGAAATAATGCTGATTTGTTTTCATGATTCCAAGGGTATTGTCCACAAATAATTTGTTCTACCCGGCCAAAACAATAATGCGGTATTCTACCTTGTAGTTTTAAAGCGTTTGGTGCGCCGTATTTGACGTGTTCGGCCCGAATATCGCGAAGATGGAAGTTGACGTTTGTTGCACGATATTGCGCCGACTCATCGATCGACACTTATGGCCGATTATTTGACTAAAAATCACATTTTATAGCTGTATTAAAGCAGAAGGAGACTATTTTGAATAAAATCAATTGATTTAGTCGATAAAAGCATTTGTTCTGTCTTTTTTTTTTTAAAGTCCTGTTTACTTTGGAACACACCTTGTATATTAACAAACTAAGGGCACAATAGACCATAGGTCGCGGTGCATACCTCTATCCTTATCTATATTAACAAACACGTATTTGTACATACATTCATATAAGTACATGAGTAAATCAAGGTATCGGATATGATATACAACCCAAACATTTCAATCATTCAAATACGAGTATGATTCATTTACGGTTATTGTCTGCAAATCATGTGCTCATCGCTAGTGATTCAAACTTGTTCCCTGTCACTGTTTTAAAGACGAACGGTTCGATAATCACGCAAAGCGATAACTTGACATATTTTCATAAAAGTTGGAACACGTGTTAATCTAAAGAAGCTGTGAGCCGCTGTAGTTATATAAATTTAATGTTCAAGATGACAAGACGAATTAATATCCGTTTGTCTGTCTGTGCACATGTGTTCAAATATCTATTCATCGGGTAAAATAATTGAATTAAATAAATTAATTAAAAAAAGGATTTACAAGGAGAGCAAGGACAAAAGGGACTCACATGGAAAACAAATCACAAAATTAGTAACATAAGTAAACGTCATTTTAGAAGTATAATTATAGAAGAAAAGGAAAAGAATCGACTGCATTTGAGGTTAGGTGACGTTGACTTGTGCACTTCTGTCCAACTCGTTAGAGTTGACGAGATTGAAGAGATACCTTCAAAAGGTGGCAACACTTCAAGCTGTAAAGCTGTAATTTTGTGTCTTTTCTGTCTGTCTGTGAACTTTTGTGTCTTTTATTTTACAAAAATCTTAAATTTTAATTGATTTTTATTAGTGATTTAATTGAATATTTAGTGATTTGATTCTGAGTTGCAAGCTAAGTATAAATGTTCTTAAGTTTTGTACATTATCATAAAGTTTAAATTTTCGAATTTTTGGTGTTGAGTCAGCTTTTGTTTTATTTTTTTCTCTCTTTATTTATCTCATCTACTTCTTTTTTCACAGCTGTGTTGCGTGTAGTTTTTTATTTGTTCCAGTGCATCTAAAACTGCTCGCTTTATTGTTTTTTCAAACTGTCTTGGTTTTGAACTTTGATAAAAAAAATTTGCTTTATTTTTGCCTTTGTTCTTAATTGTATTTATTATTATTAATATTTTATTAACACACTGATTTATTATAAAGGGGTTTATTCGGGGTATAGAACTTAAGTTGGCATTACTGTTCAAGATGGCGACCGATTTAACAGCTGTCAAGTGATTTATTCTCTGTTTCGTTTGGCAATTCATCATGAATACACTCACGCCTGAACAACGCTTGCAAATAGTGCAATTTTATTTCGAAAATAATGGTTCTGTGCGGAATACGTTCTATTTTTTTTTAGCGATGAAGCGCACTTCTGGTTGAATGGCTACGTCAACAAACAAAACTGCCGCATTTGGAGTGAAGCCAATCCTCAAGTGTATGTCAAAACACCGTTACATCCAAAAAAAAAAAACTGGATCCGTACTTCTTCAAAACCGATAATGGCCAAAACGTTACAGTCAATGGTGATCGGTATAGAGCAACAATCGATTTATTGAAATACACGTTTAGGGACCGCCTAATTTACGTTTTTGACCTGTGAATTGGCCTCCAAGATCTTGTGATTTAACTTCGCTAGACTACTTTCTGTGTGGTTATGTAAAGTCATTGGTCTATGCGCATAAGCCACAAACGCTTAACCATTTGGAAGACAACATTCGCCGTGTTATTGCTGATATATGGCCACAAATGTTGCAAAAAGTCATCGAAAATTGGACATCCAGATTGGACATCCAGATTAGACATCCAGATTGGACTACATCCGAGGCAGCCGTGGCGGTCATATGCCAGAAATCATATTTAAAATGTAATGCCACAAGACTATCTTTCGGATAAATAAAATAATGTCAATCCATCGTTGTTTTATTGCAATTTAAAGTTCTATACTTCTAAAAAAAAAACACCCGTTATATCTATTAGATTTTGTTTTACTTACTCTTTTATTTTATCTTCATTTAATCTTCTTTGCTGTTTATTATGTCGTTAACTTCCCCAACTGTAACATTAAAAGCGAGTCAGATCGCTACGTTTCATGCTGGCTTTGTGATGGGCTTGACCATATTAAATATTCTGGACTGACAGGTAGAATCTTAGATTCTATTCTCGACTGTAAGGTCTTGTTTAAATTGTAGATTTATTGAAATCGCTATATTTAAAGTTTATAGGCAGACACGCAATGGCTTTAACGAAATTGGTCAAGATCTTAAATCTTTTAAGTGCCTGAATGATTCTCACGAATCCTCCAAACCTGCTCCTAAGCGCAAACGTCCTTCCGATGGAGTACAGAAGACTACGTCTACTCCAAATGACCTAATAAATCTCTCTTCTCCTTGCCCTCGAAGTGATAAGCCGTCAACTTCCAAAGAGCTCAAAAGCTCTATCTATTAGTTCAAAGTGTCTCACAATTCCAGAGGTTCCCCCTAATAACTTTGTAGCATCTGTTCAAAATTTGGTAGTTATTCCATCTAAACAATCTATATTTATTTTAGACTTGCCAAAGATACCATGGTGGAGGACATTAAGTCTTACATTTCGTCGTGTTTAAAAATTGATGATAACAATATCCATAAATTTAACTTCAAATATGATAGAAGTATACCATCGTTCAAAATATACGTATCTCTTGAAACATTCCAAAAGATCTTAGATAGCTTATTCTGGCCACCTGGGGCTTTTGTACGCGAATTTAAGCCTAAACTTAGAATTCATACTGAGTAAACATTAATGAATTACCAAAAGCAACTACCGATATAATAAAAAACTGATTGATAGAAATTTGCTAAGCATTTATTATTAAAATGTTAGAGGTCTTAATTCAAAATTAACCGACTTGTACTTCTGTACTGTTCCAATTTTAATTTCCATATAATTGGATTTACAAAAACATGGTTAAAACCTCACATTTTTGATAATGAGATTTTAAACACGTTTTAGGAGATTTCAATTTACCGTGTGCTTCGTAAAAGGCTTTCGATGACTATATCGTACCGATTTGCAATCGGTCTTGTTTTAATAAGTTCTTTGAAATAATTTCCGAGTTGGGTCTGAACCAAATTAATTTGATTCCGAATAAATTTGGTAAATGCTTAGATTTAGTATACGTTGATACCTCTTCAAAGTGTTCCGATATTCAGAGTAATTCTCTTGTTCTACCAGAGGACTCGTATCATCCTGCTTTGTCTGTATCTGTCGAAATCATAGGCAATACATGGGATAGTAATCATCAAACTTCTAGCTTCTGTACTCGGTTTAACTTTGCAAAAGCTAATTTTCAAAAGTGATATTGAATTGAGTGTCTCACATTTTAATAACATTATTACGAAATTATTTGAAAAGTATGTTCCAATAGTAATTGTTAATAAGAGTAATAGTATAAGTCCGTGGTTTTCGAAAGAGTTATATAAATTGAAAAACAGAAAAACTCGAGGCTTTAAACATTTGAAAAAAAACTGGTTCACTTGTCGACTATTCTA